TAATTATAGATATAAAAATCATAAATTCTCATTAAGAGTTTAATGAAAGGTTTATACCGATCAAATATTACGAATAAAATATGCCGTCCAAAACTGTAAGGTTAACTATAAGACTCACTTATAAGGTACATATATTCAAGCTATATGTGTCTATACAGTGGTGTACAAATTATTAAATCGTTATAACTTAATTCTCTAATTAATGACAATTAATTTAATAAAAAACAATTCACTCGGTTCACTACTAAGTTGTTATGTATGTTTTGTTAATGTACAATCGTATATGGATACAACATGGTTTTAGGTTGACAGAGATGAACAAAATCAATTCAAAATAAGAGATAAAAATAAATTCACAAATAACTGCTTATTTTGTAAATAAGGAATATTAATTTTAAGGTTAATTATCAAAATTACGGCTGAGTACCTTCATTTATTCAATAAGGTAACCAGATTATTAGAGGTATCAATTATAACATTCTAAGGAATTTACTTTTTTATATTAATTTTGATTTTCTAATAAATAAACAATTCCATTTGGGTAATTCAATATAGATGTTATATCCTTTTCCTCAAAGATACCGGACTTGACAAATTAATTTAGAAAAATAAAAAAATAAAATATTTTCTGTTAATTTATGTAATGTGTAGTTTAAAAAAAATGTAATTAATGGCGACAGCAACTGATGTTGTAATTTAGATTAATGAAAAAATTAAAAATATTATGTATTACGCATACATATTCCATGAAATAAAATAAATTGTTTTCAATTTAATTGATAATATGATAGGATGAAATTTTTATGTATTTTTAGACTTTGTACACAGAGAAGTAGGTACCAAATTTATACCTAGGAAATTACTTTTTTTTCTATTTCCCTTACTATGTCTGTATGGTGTAAATCATGTATATCTAAATCTCACAATCACACTACTAAAAAAATAATAATAATAATTTATACTTTATACCTATCTACTATGTGTGGTTGTTATAATATTATATTACATAAATTGCTTTTATGTTGGACAGATGTTCAATTATTCGATATAAAAGTATGTACTTAAAATAAATGGAATTTTTGTAGTAAATGTCATTTAACAACGATAGTATGTAATTGAAATTAAATTTCTCCCATTAAACATTAAAAATTAATTTTCGTATGGGTAGCAGATATATTAAAAAATAAATTACATAGGTATACACGTTTCACGTATCAAACCCGTACCTATGGATACAATATTTAGTAAATGAAGATTCTGTGTTTTATTTTTACTAGTGTGTATGTGTATCAATGTATACACGAAATGAATGTACCGTAAACGAACGTTTATAGTAATTATTGGTAATTTTGTACTTTGATGAAATAACAGTTGGATTTGGTCTTGAAAAAATGTAATAATATAGTATACCTTTATATGTATAATATGACATACGTTAAAAACCCATTATATTCGCCTAAGAAGTTTTTGTATATACCGATACACTCCGCCGTAAGGACCGGATATATAATTGGTTTTTTAAATGAGCACCGCAAGACGAACTAGTAATAAACGTTATATACCTTATACTATTATACATAAGCGCACTTTTTATCTTAATAATAAAATTTTTTATTAACTACGTTTATCTTCTTCAAGTTATTATTTACAACTCGTGCGTAACCCACCGATGATATTATACGAAAACATTATGAATACACTTCGATAATGTATACCTGTATACGATTTATAACCTTTCGGCTTTCGGAATTTTATATTATTTTTTCTTGTTTCTAAACGCGGCCGCACGATTGCATACACTACTAGACTTCGTACACGTCCTCGTACGCAGGTAATTTATTTTTATTAAGGGTATGGATTGAACATATTATACGTATACGTTTATAAATACGTTTGTATGCAAATATATTTTAAGTACACTGTGTAATTTTTCCATACAGTTTTTTAAAATACCTACGCGTGTTGCGCATATTTATGTATAAGAATACATTGCGTATTCAAACAAATTGTGCGAAAAAAATACACATATTAATTTTATAATTCTGAATGCAATATATAATACGCGATGCAGTGATGTTTAAAAAGCAATAGGGAATTAAATCAAACACGAGTATACCACAGAAGTTAATATAATGTTACTATACATATTATAATGTACACATAAATATGTTCATTTAGTTTTACGTTTAAATTATTTTTATATTTGATAGTGCATTAATATTATATATATATATATATACGAGTATTATATATAACTATAAACTATACATGAAAGATATTATATTATGTTTCAGTTTTCGGAACAATTTTGTGGTTCATATAATAAAATCGTATTAATAACAGGATAACAGGAAAATATCAAATATATAGCACTAGCTGAACTCGTGCACTTTGTAGCCTGTTAAAAATCCTATATCTTTTACGTCTCAAACCATATGTTAAATTCGTTACATGAGATAATGCTAGCACTCAGGCCCGTATTTAGGAGAGGGCACGGGTAGGCACATGCTCAGGGGCGTTAAGTCTAAGGGGCGGCAAAATATTTTAGCAAAATTAATGGTAAAAATGATGAACCTAATGAAAAAAAATAAAATAGTATGTTTAATTTGTTAATTAAAAAAAGTATTAAACGATTTTCATTTATAAATTATATTTAATATTAAATAATCTCGATTATGGACGAAATAATAAATGTTATATTATTGTTATCAATTTTATTTTTTTTTGGGGGGGGGAGGGGTGAGGGCATAAATTATATGCCTGGGACCGCCAAATTTTTAAATACAAGCCTACTAGCACTATATTTTTATACATACAGATAGATAATAGTTAAAATATACTGAGTAATAATCTTACAATTCGAGTGTTCAATTAAATGATATTTATCGAAGTGCATTTGGATACACGATAGTTTTTGTTCTTCCTTCTGGTGCATACACAAATAAATTGGAAGATTTTGCGATGCGTGAGCATGTCATTTTCCAAATTCAGTCCAAACACTTGTATAATGATTGTCCTTGCGTTTTGTTGATGATCATTGCAAAGGCGAGTAGCACCGAAAACTGCAAAGTTTGAATTTAAAAGGAATCGAGTTTGACGTTCTCTGGTAGTTCTCAATTTTGCATATTTTTGTTTGATTGTTTCTGAAGCTCGTATTTCCATTTTTTTTTTGTGCTTGAGGCGTGGAACTACTGTTCGATCTTTTTTTGAGAGGCATAACTGCATAAAAATGGCGTTATTATAACGGAAAAAAAAAACAAAAAAAAACACAAAGTATCAATAAAAACTTTTAATGCCATAGACGCACGTGCCATGGAAAAAAAAAAATAAAAAAATAATAATAACAAATTCAGGGATTATAATTTTTTTCGCACTAATTATTATTATTATTATTAAAATTAAAAGCAATCATTTAAACAAAAATTTCTCTCGTAAATCTCAAAATGTCTGTTTGAGCACCTCCCGGGTTTGGGCCTATCACTTTTTAACTTTGCCTATCTTCTGCCCATTGATCTAATATATCTCTGTACCAAATTTCATCGCAATCGGTTCAGCCGTTTAGGAATGCAAAAAGGACAAACAAACAGATAGAAATCCATTTTTATATAATATATATGGATAAAGCAACACTAGTGAAAACATTTATAGATTTTAAAAGAATATTTTTTAGAACTTACACGAATAGGTAAATACGTTGTACGAATGCGCACAGTGCACTAATGGCGTACCGATTGGGAAGTTTTGAGGGTTTAAGCCCCCCATAAGTAAAACATGTTTAATTATTTCTTTTATGGAATATTACATTCATGACATTTTTTTATGCATATATAAATGGTAACCCTTCCCATGCACGATTTATGCGTACACCACTAACTGCGCACATATAATACAGATACCTACCGGTGAAATAAAAACGCCGTTGCAGTTATAAGAAGTCAAGTCAGCAATATACGCAAACAGTATATTATAATTAGGGCAAAATATATCATTATATATTTCTAAAAAACAATTAATTATACAAGCATCATTACGCTGTTTAAACCCGATCTGCGCTAATAGTACGCATTAAATATTTTTTTCTGACTTAATCAAACAATATTAATTATTAAAAAATAACCATACCGTGAACAAAAAATTAGCAAAAACCTTAGTACTACGACGGCACCGCCAGAGTGGAGACTGCATATGGAAAAATCGTTTTGATAAAGGTTTCAAAAATAAAATGTTGATAGATATATATATCTTTGATTTAAATGTCTTTTAAAAAAAATTATGTACACAAAAAGCTTCCAAATCGTCTAATACAGCAGTCTGAAAAAGCAAGAAACAAAAATCTAAACACGGAAAACTTCAGGAAACATAATACAGATTTAGCTTTGCGTAACAACGTTTTCTTCAAGTCGGACCGCGCAAAATAGAACTACGTAAACGCTGAAAGTCTTCTGCGTTATCGATAGCGAACAATTTAAACTGCGTTTCCATACGGATATCCCATCAGATTTTTGTGGAATCGTTGAATTTTCTACTGCGCTGCAGACCAGATAGGTTTTCCTGGGCCATAGGGCAGACGAAAACGTAAAAACGAAAATGTATACTTGACCATAACGGTTTGCCAGCCCTGAAATCAAAAACTGTTTGCGATACGCGTGCGTTACAAAAAGAAAAAAATCAGTGGCGACGGCGTGAGAACCTCGCGGGATGGCCGTTGCTACGGATATAATATAATAATACTGTCGGTGCGCGGGTGGACTGCGCAGAGGCGGTTTAATCTTTTCGATCGGGGCCAGATTAAGGTGGACGTGCGTGGCCGAGTACGAACGCACGGCGTAATAGCCGCAGTACAGGTGCGCGGGTCGCGGGGTTTTCGTCGGAGCGGCCGCGGGACTTACGCACGCGCGCGAAACGCAGAGTACTGTACAGCGGCCGCACGACAACGACGCGTTGTTAAATGGGTTTTAATATTGCCGCCGCCGTCCCCTAGACCACCTCCGCGCGGTGCCGGTCCGCCAAAAACGGGTACTGATTTTCCACGGCCGTCGACCAATCCAAACGTGGCCGAGGCGGTGCTCGGGAGGACGCCCATCTCGACCATCGACGGCGGCGGTCGTCGTCGCCGTTAGCCGTCCGCCACTCGCAGTCCGTCGCGCGCATCGTATCCAACCGCATCGCCGTATCGTTATTAAATATTTTCGCTATCACTACTATTATCACTATCATCAACATCATCATCGTTACGAACCGCTTTCCGACGTCGAAATATATACGCGACCAACGATTTACATACCGTTTTTAATGGAGTTCTCGCACGTCAGCCGTACGGTAAGATTATCGTGGTGACGTGGTTTTTTCATCGAAATGCATTTCAGTCGACGTCGCGCCTAACACACGTCGTGGAAGTTCATAACGCGATTCGTTCCGTTCACCGATACCGGCACCGCGCAGGTATAAGCAGTATTCGCGCACGCGTGCAAACCAGTTCTGTATACCGCTGCGGCTACGAAATGGTCGACGAAACCAAGTGCAGCTCGGTCGAGGACGGTACCACCACGGACGAGGATCGCGACGTGCGTGTGGATTCCGGCGGTTCGGACGAGGAGCTGTGCATGGACGAAGAGGACGAGGACGACGTATCGCCCACCTCGGCGGCCGCGCCCGGCACCCTGACGTTCGGCATCTCCCGTCTGCTGGGCGGTGGCGGCGTCGGCGGAGAAACGTCCAAGCGTTCCGTGTCCAACGGCATGGCCGCGGCCGCCGTCTCGGGGCCCGCCGAGGCGCTTGCGTCGTTGTACGCGGCCGGCCACCACGCGGCCGTGTTCGGGCTACACCATCATCTGCACCAGCAGCACCAGCACATGGCGGCCGCGGCAGCGGCGCACCAGGCCGCCGCCAAGCCGACGGACGACAAACCGTCGTCGTATCTGCAGTACACGGGCGCCGCGGGCGTCATCAAAGTGCCCGCGCACAGGCCGCACCCGTCCGGCGGCGCGCCCGGCCAGATGCCGTCCCCGTGGGCCGCAGCCGCCATGGACCCCGTGTCGTTTATGCAGCGCAATGCTTTTCTGTTCGCCGCCGACAAGAATCGACTGGCAGCCGGTACGTTTTTCCATTAGTCATTTCTAACATACGTCTAACAATTAACAATTGAATATCGCAACACGTTTTGACACGCTCTTACGATCGGATGTATTATGTGTAAATCTATCACCAAAAACTCATTGTAGAAACTGATAAATGTTGTAGCGACACGAAAACAACTGTGTAAATTGAAATGCCGAAGTGTCCAACCTAGGTTAGAAAGGTCCTTCAAACGTGATAGATAATTTGAATATTGGTTCGCTTAAAGTATATTTAATAATAACATTACTTGCCAAAATTTTGAACTAATATAACGTCGTTGGAACTACAAGTATACATTTCGGTTTTTTTTTTTCACTAAAACTTTCTAAAGTAAACTTAGAAAAAGTCATTCCGAATATCATACGAAATAAAATAATATTTATTATTGAAAAAAGTAAATTTTCACGAATAATTCGAAAAAAAGGGAACAAAATACAATAACAAAAATTATCAGTTTAATTATAATAAATTATTCTTAGACATAAGTTACATTATTATCTTGAGTCTTCAACCTAAAAGGTTCATTTTAGGTTAAAAAAATCGAATTTTCTTGAAAATGTTTCATTTATTTTATTAAAAGTTAATTTATAATGCTCATAGTATTTAATGCTATGAGTTATATTCAATTAAATCATACTTTAATTATCTTTATTAACAGGAATTATGTCGTAATTAGTAAATCCTTGTGGTACTGCACTCTTTGGAGGTAAAATACTAAATTGGAAATTATTTATGATTACTTTATTTTTTGGAATGTTACTTTCACAATGAATCTGAGCTGAAACCTTTTTCAATACAACTAGATTTGAACTATTTTTAATTGGACAAAATTTAAATCTACTTTCTCCGAGACATGAATGAAATATATATTTGTAAAAAAAATCAATTTTAATATTTATCACTTTTCAGCAATAGATCCGAGTACTTAACTAATCATAATAACCTAATTGAAAAAAGTTTTTTAAAAATATATAACGTCATTAAAACCAAAACTCAACGATTTTTTTTTAAAGCATATGTGTTGGTAAATTTTGGAAATATAGGTATATATTGTCTTAGATTTCCAGCAAAGCGAATTTAACTATAAGCTATTTTTATTATTGTCTGACAGATTTTCGGGTAGATAATTAGTCAGTAATTTTTTTTTTTTATTAATTAAACTTTAAAATAACCCATAAGGGATTATTTTCATGGAATATTTACCATTACATTGAACATCAACTTTATATCAGAACCGTTTGGCAAACGCTATATGAGTTATCTTTGCATTCAAATGTTTAGTATTAAATTGACACAATAACTTGGAAAACCACAGTATTTAACTGGTTTTTATTCTATAGTTTAAAAGCTTATAAAACGTTTATTTGCGAAATGTTTATAGCTCTCATATAATAGTGTACGCCTTTATTTATTTTCAGATGTATGACAGACATATGTTGCACTTATTATACTTTTTTTTTTCTTTTAAGTATAGTGAAAACATTTTGATTTGATTTAATTAGTTTACACGCTGTTTATTTTTTATTCGTTGCACTATGCGTGAATCATTATTAAACCTTATCACGTATACTAGAGTATCCGTTTAAATGTAATTGTGGGGACGTTATTCCTACTGGGGTATTATTTTTACAGTTGTTTTTCGACGCAAATAACGTTTGTGTTCTAGCTGTATATGTTACAGTACCCAATACTGTATGTCTACATAAAATTAAGTAATGGATTAAGTAAATTTTTAAATTGCATAAACCCTGCGAGGATAAATCATTTGGTCAAAATCGGATTCATAATAAAAGCTGTATTTTAGACGGTTACATGTAATATAAATGTAAGAAATTAACGAACGTAAATTAATTTCTTTAACAGATAATTCATACTTATTTAAATTAAAATATAATATACATAATTGTAGGTTGTAGATTTTATTTTATAAATTGTTTTTATTGTTACAAATACACTTGATATTTTTACTATGAGATTATAATTTTTGTTATTCGTGCTATAGTTTATTTATTGTTACACAATGCAATCCAACATAATAATAAAAATAAAAAACAAAATGTTTGTCTCATTAGATTAATATAATAAAAATATATATATTCATACTTTGTAAGCACTTATTAATACAATCTGATAGTTATTTAGTTTTGAAGCCGTGACTAATTATTGTAGACGGACTCTAAAACACAATTTTTTTAAATGATCGTGTGATTACAGTAGTTAAATGAGTATCTTATAACCTCAACATGATTAAATTAATTTGTTTTATTCACATTTACATTTAAAGTACATAAAACTAAATAAATTGCGTGTACCTGCATTTTGAAAGTAATATTAATAACGTTTTTGACCATTATTAATAATCTTCATAGTTTTTTTTTCGATTTTTTTTTTTTTTTACACGCGTATCGTAATAACATTGCTTAATCATTTATTTAGTATACAAACGAAATAATTTGATGCATTTAAGAATGTCACATTCGTAATGTAAAATATTGCTATTATTTTAAATTATTTGTTAATTTTGTGTTGAATACAAAAGGTGGTTTTGGTAATCAATAATAAATATTCCACTAATTCCACTAAAAAGCATTCATTCTACTAAGCATCTGCTACAATAATTTAAATGTATTCTAAACACTTGTCAAAAGTGTTTATAATATAATTTGCTATGTAGAATAGTCTGGTTGTTGGTTTTAAATTACTTCATTATAAGCAGTGCCAACTTTTTTTTTAAACATTACGTTAATAGCTAAAAACCATTATCCGTTTATAGGTTTGATAAATTTATGTAGGTATATCTTTATATAAATAGGTTATAAGTTACAGATTAAGAATAATATATTTACAGTAAATATTTCAATTAAAATGCAAATAAAGAAGTATTTTTTAACGTATATTTGTTATTAAAGATTTCGTTACATATGTACATATTAAACGCATATCAATAATTATGCATTTCTATTTGGAGACGTGCTCCTTAAATAGGTGCTTAATATAATTTTGTTTGTAAAATTGTTTTGTCTCATAAATAATTGTTTTGAAAAACTGGCTCGAATAGCTTTGAGGATGAATGCGTGTTTTGCTACTGAATTACTCGTCAAATAGAATTAGAAACAACATGACGATAATAATACGTATAATTTAGTGAACAACCCGATCATAATTATAAGGTAATCTTTTACTCTCATAAACGTAGACAAACGAATATACTTTATAAAGTTTGTTTGTGTATTGAAACTGCTAATTTTTTAAACATGCTCGATATATTCTAAAAGAATTTCTATTATCTTTTTATGATAATTAGGGACCGTTTTTAAAATTGTTTCAATTTTAATATTTTACATGCATGTACAATCTCAGGTATATTATGTCTATGAAAAATAAATATTTTTAGAAATATTAACCACAAATAGTGGACATTTTCAAGGTTAAACAAATACATTGTACAATGTTTTTAATTATAGACAATAACAATTAAACTCACTCTCTGACAGCTTAACCATATCGTATAATATACCTACTGAAAATGAATTAATTATTATAATTGCGGACTGCAACTGTAAAGGTTATATTTTATGGATTAACACGATTAAAAACAAGTGATTATCATATTTTTCTGCATGCGTATGCGATTCAAGTTGTGTAAGATGTTTTACACTGGTAAATCGACGAAGTTTCTTACGAATGAAACCATGTCTTCATCCCGATAACCGCGAAACCGTCGGCGCTCGTTGAACACGATTGAAAAGACAGCATACTGCTTGTGCAGTTATTCCAAGATCGAGATGAGACCCCGGAAAGGAAGGGAAAAAAACGTTTCCGTTGACGCGTCGCGTACGCACCCGAGAGTAGACGTTTTCACACATTTCTGATGACACGAGGATATACTATAAAATATTAATCGATTGTAATGCACACTCGGGGAGGAAAAAGAGTAGCTGCAAAAAATGAAACCGACTCGCATGTGTATAAGGTGTAACACGCGCGCTGGTAGAAGTATATTATATATATGTTATGCGTAAGTGTACAAGCTGTAACACGCGTTAGGAATACGCAAGTAGCCGGCGCATTAGCAATAGCATCGGTGTGTCTATAAACCTGTCCGGTTTTCCGTTCGTAATGCATCCATCAACTTCGGTTCGCCTGAATATAACCGTTTATAACCACAGTTTACGATGGTGTAAAAAAATAATATTTCAATATTATGCTCAAATATATATATATGGTATACCCGTACCGTATACGTGTTCACAAAATGTGTATTTATATACGTGGAGAGACAGATAGATGAAGCGAGATATTATGTGCATAAAGAATAGGGTAATTTATATATTTATTTTTTTAGTATTGATTTTTTAAATCCTAAGGTACGCTCTGCGACTTCGAAAAGTGTGACTTAAGGCACAATCCGTATACGGTGATAATCATTAAACGTACGTGTAATAAAATATACATATAGTGCACGTGTGTAAGCAGGGTCGGTGAAAACTTTTGAGAACCCGGGGCTGATCGGTTCCAGGGTCCCTTTACTTACACTTGTTTGGTCAAAAAATGCGTTCTACTTGTACATACTTGCACGTACTTTAGTACAAAAAAGACATTTAAATTTGCATCTTATACCACGGCGAATGAGACTATAAAATAATTTTGAATAAAAAGCTGATACGACCGGCCCCGGTGCTCTAGCCCTCCCTGTCCCACCCTATCGACGGCATTGTGCGCAAGTTAAAATCAAAAATACCAATTCTGATCTACTCAAATGTTGTGGTGTTAAACAAGTGTATATTCTTTCAAACATTTGTTATAATATTATAATACATTATACGTGTAAAAATATAAGAATTTTCAGCGAAATATTTATATGCATTATGTTCAATAGACGTAAAAAACTAGTGGAACATATACAGTATATTGTATTAATTAATACATGAAATTTTATTTTTGGAATTTCCTGAAACTCATTCCTTATATCTGTT